GGGGGGGGGCTGGCAAATTTTATGGGCGCAACTTTATAGGCAGAGCGTGGAAACGCAGCCGGGATTTATGAAAAAGAAAGAATAAGTTTTACCCTCAGTGACTGACTGTCCATTTAATTATTGTAAGTGAAAAAATGGGTCGAGCCGGGGGATATGTGTTGTAAATGCTGCCAGCGCCGCGATGTCACCGTCTGGTTACGCCTTGTGTGACTCTCCAAGGAAGAACATAACACGAAGGGGCGCAAAAGTAGAAGTCTTTTAGCACACCTACTACAGCATACTTATGGCAAGCAGAGCGCGCAGATTGGGCCGATTAGATTGTGGCCTCAAGAAAGGGATAATAGGCCGAGTGAATTTCTAGTTGAACACAGTGATAGGGGAGAACACTAATCATGGCCGGCGGCTTGATCAATCTCACACCTCGTGCGGCTCGTACCGATCGATAATGCACCGTTGGACGAGTAATCAGGAGAGCGTGATAACAGGTCGTTGGGCCTGTCTCTAAAAGTAGGGACCTCTGTATTTCCAGAGCTTTTAGGGTTATAATTAAAGTCGGGATTAGAAGAAGTGTTACAGTCAGAGGATTAGTCTTAAGGTTAGGTGGGTTAGGCTTGGCACTTGGATAAGGGTTAAAGTTAGGATGCGAGAGTTCGTAATCCCTTACCCGGAATTTAGCACGAGGCCACCTGTCATAGGCGGGTGGTCCACTGTTCCGCTTGCTACCAAAAATTACCTGTGTACAGCTTTCGTTTCAAGACCACAGTAGGGTAATTACAGTAGGACAAAATTAGAAGAAGGCTTAGTTGACTGATGACGGTTTGTTTCCCATTCGGTGAACAGAGAATTTGGAATAGAAACTGAGGTTTTGCTAAGGTCTGGGTAAGGCTAACCGATCACGTTTAAGAAGCTAGAAATTGTACTCTCTGTCCACCTGGTCTTTATCGGTGACTTCCCCAAGGCATTACGATTTTCACTTGCCCAACTGGTTACCCACCAAGTGGTTTGGCACTCACATGTCTAAAGAGTTTAGACAGAAAATTACAGAGAAAATTAAGGGGGTCTGAGGATTCTGCAAACTGTTTTCCAGCCAATCGACTCGAGATGTCGAGAATAAAGCCCTCTTCCCCGATATTTCGGCATTCCATAACGACTTGGTGTCATGCCTTTAAGGGGCTGAGCAAGAATTTGCGCTTTTTCAGTCTTGGCTCGCTTGTTGTTTGATTAAATAATTACTAAGCTGCTAGCATTTTGGTTGGTTACTAAGACATCTGCGTCGATGCGCATCTTGAAAAATACTCACACATCGGAATGTCTGCTGGGCAAAGCGTACAGATGAGCACTGCGTCCTAAGAGGGTCAAGGGCAAAAAAACGCTTTGATTTTGAGGGAGGGTCCACTGAGACAGCCAATCTTCTCTGTATCGATTGGCAAATGAGGCCTTTCTTTCTTCCATCGGAAGGCCATCAAAACTTAGGCCGGCTTTCTGGTACTAAATTAAGCAATGTTGTTTGTCAAAGTGTTTCGAATGAACGAGATAATTTATTCGGCTTTGTTATAATTACTCGTTGCAGACAGGTTTAGCATGCGCACATAAACGAAGTGGCATCAAGCTTTGAAAAACCGAGTAAATTATTACTTCTTCCTGCGCAAGCCAGTAACCGAGGCTTGCGCTTCTGGGTAGAACTTTTGGTATATGTGCCTCCCGTACTACGGGATTAAGAATAGCGCTAACGGGTCAATGCTAGTATTAGAATAAAGGTTAGACTTGAGGTTTGGGTTAGAGTTCGTGTTATACTTAGGTTTATCATACGGGAATTGTAGTCCTCATGGTATTTATCATAAGGCGACATGTATTACTGAGAGTTTCCTATTCCCATTTATTACGTAATTTTAATGCCCCCTTATCCTGATCACCTTCCTTTAAACCACACTGCAGCTAAAAAGAGACCTAGCTACGGGGATTGATTAGAAAATAGAATAAGTTTTCGTTAAACAGCCGCCACAGTCAGAATGGTGGCCACCGTTCAACAGCAACATGCACTCTCAATGGAAAATCTTCTTTCATTCCAACTCGACCCGCTAAAGTAAACAAAGAATTCCAGACGAGTATGTTGACTGCGTTATTGACAATTTAACGGGCATAGCAGTTCTAAGAGCTGAAAGCATTCGTGTACATTTCAAGTCTCACGAGCAGCCTGAATTATTACAGTTTCGTATGAGATGGAGAAACCTTCTGCACCTTAACCTTCGAGGTCACATAATGCACGTTTAGTGTCGTGCAGGCGGAAACGGCCAGTGCACGGAGCTAGGAAGCTGGAAGTATAAAAATGGTTTGGTCAGATGCAGAATCGACCCGCGGACTTTGAAGTATGTATGCAATAGGGAGGATGCAAGTTGGGTAGAGGATACACAAAGGTTCCACTTCGTTTGCTCTCTCTACGCAGTGTTCTCCCCGGGAGTGCGTCCCTAAAAACACTACGGACAACGTGATCGATGGGCATCTGAATGAGATGGAATGGGACTGGAGAATGGGTGGAAAGATGGTTTATCTTGCCCTGGTGCCTCAGGGTACTATCAGTGAAACGAGTAAGAGCAGTGTGGGTAGAACAAGTGACGCCTGTATGGCGACTGCACCCCCGCCACGTTTCAAATACCAGCTCGCCATTGGCAGTCGGGGTTTCTGCACTTCTGCATCACGCCATAAACTCGACGATCTCAGGCTGGCCGGCAGTGATGACAATCTCACTGGTCGGAAGAGAGTTTCGTCGGCCAGGAGTCTTTGAAACATGTCCCAAATCTCGTCAGCAGTAGTGCCCTCAATAGAGTCCCAGTCAATCACCACGCCGACGGAGGTTGAGACGACACTGGGGAAGAGAAAATCACGGGAAGCACAGCGACGTAGTGACGACGAAGAGGAGGCAGAGGAGTCAGCCATGGACGTTAGGCTCCCATTGGCTGGACCTACTTCAATGGAGCAAGCACCCATGAGCCCCTCGAGGGAAGCTAGACGATCCGTAAAGCCTAGACTGGCAGGCAGCTCAAGCACTTTGATGTCAGTGAAGGCGTTTTGAGCTTCCAAGTTCCAGGACACTTCATCGGAAACTTCACCCTCTCCTGTTCCCGTGAGGTAATCTTCATCCGGAGACTTGGTGGTAGTTGTAGTGGTGGTGGTGGTAGTACTGGTCGAGGAGGAGGTTTCAGCAAACACTGCATTAGAATTGGCAGCATCTGCACTGTTTATGGAGGAGCTACTTGTGGTACTAGGAGTGCTGGTTGTCCCCGAGGTCTGGAAGTAATGGTAAAGACGGCGGTTGTCGGCGAACAGCTGATCTTCCTCCGGGTGCCGTTTCCGTCTGCCTGTAGCAAACAGAAGAGAGAGGGGCAGTCACAAAGGGGAAGGATGACGACCGACGATACGCAGAGAGAGGGATAGGGAGACGAAATTTGCAGGAAGCGGGTGAAACATGACGACAGGGAGGATTTTGCGACTGGTTGGAGGGCAGACATAATGATTAATCTTTCGTTTGCGTGTCAAAAAATTAGTTCAAAATAGCCTCACAGACGCAATCCGGGAGCAATAAGACTCATTCCTAGCTTGGAAGGACTGCAGAGCCAGTGTCGTGGTGTCCAAAGGGTTGTCTTTTTGATTGAACCATCTGTTTTTTCCCCGGCAACACGCCAGTAGTCCTGAAGAGCTGGATGTTTGCAGGAATGCTACAAATAAGTTGTTAAAATTTACCGGAAGGGAACGAATGAAGCTATGCGCAGATAATATCTCCAGTAGGACCAACCTGAAAGTTCAGGTGTAACTAAGGCCATGGAGAGGCCACGGGGAGGCACTCATTTGTTAGGCTAAACTGTGATAGCGGAGGGAGAGAAGAAAGAGGATGCGGGGTAGATTGACTGTTGCGAGTATATTCTGTCTTTATTTGGCCAATCACAACCCCGACTGCCAACCGGAACGAGAAGCACAAACATCCAGACGCATTAAGTGCACACGGTATATTGAAGCGGGGGTAGGGCCTTCTTGTGGAGCCGCCTAAAAGGAATTCCGCCTGCCTAAGGTCGAATTTACGCCAATAGGAATTGTCTACTATTCCTACTGGTCAATAGGCATGAGTAAACTGTGCAACAGGAGTTTATGTTGATCGATATGATTATATTTAGCCCACTAAAACAATTATAAATGACTTTGATTTACTCTCTATTGTTCACTTTCCACCCAATTTCACACGCATTTGCACACCTGAACCCAGTAGTTAACCTTTAACCACGAATTCCGTGAAACAATTGGGCAGGAGGAGTTTATTTTTAGAGGGCCTCACAAAACAGCTTTGCCGGAGCGGGTCTGTTGGATGGGTTATAAACACTTCACTGGACCGAGGTTCATCCGCGGAACCTCACCCGGCTCTTTCCATCTGGCGTACATCCATCCAACAACAACGTAGAGCATATATTTGTACAGCAGCGTTTACCATTATCTATCAGTAAGCCATTGATGTGGCTCTCCCAACAAACTTCACAACTTCACCTATAATCCCTATCGAATAAAAGTAAAACGTTAGGTGTACCATGAGTACCTATGAGAGAATCCTCTCAAAGGCATTTCAGCGTATTCCTCACTAATAAAAATTCCCCGGCTCTTTGATGCTGAACCACAAGTCTGACCG